TCTTCAGCGTTTCACACTCATGAAAGCAGATGTGGAAAAACACTCACTTTGAAGGATCATCTGGTAATGGCGTATATGTGAGCCTTTCGTCTACTTGAAGAAAGTGACAGCCGTTTAGCTGAAAATGAGGAACAATGAAAGTGCTAAATAAAATAAGTAAAATTATAAAAAAAAGTAAAAGTAGAAAATGGTAGGAACACAGGTACCATTGGATTAGGGATGGGAGATAAAAGGTGAACAAAACTCACATTTCTTGTTGTGAGTGACATAGTTTTTGCTTCGGGATCGATGACAGTGTGCTCGTGTGAATATTGAGTTCCGGAGAATCCAGTGAGCTGAAAAGGAAAAGCTAAGAAGTACCATGACTTTCAGGCCAGCCATGCCACTGACAGATAAACATATTTTGAGGAGAATTAATCAACAACGATGAGCACCTGCATGGCCATAGTGGCACTGCTAAGGATGTCTTAATAGCCACGTTTTCCATAGTTTTCCTTAAGAGGTAACAGATCCTTCACTAATTACTGATTGATCATCGGGTCAAGACATAAAGGCAAATCTCTTAAGGACGTATGTTATGAAATATTGGAATGACAAGAAATTTCCCAAACTTTCCGTTTTGTTGCATATTTTTCATGCATTTGAGTTTCTGTTCTTACTATCGTTTAGAGCAGCTTCTTACGGTTACTCTGACATATAATACTTGTATATTTGCTTTAAGATGGAAAAGTCTCGAAGGCAAAAACGACTGCTGATGCTACACGAGTATCGTTTGGGTTCAAGGGCTGCTGAGACTTTCGGCAGGATTATAACGAGGCCTGGGGTGACGGAACGTTTAAGAGCACTGCAATTTTTATTTGCTTCAATAAATAAAAGGTCGGAAATGGAGCTTTGACGCTCAAGCACGAAGCCGGCCACTCACAAGAAATTGACTGGCAAACTGTTTTGAATGGAATTGAGACGTCTCCGTCGCTGACGACACGCATGCTGGTCGAGTAGCCAACGACGGAGACGGGACAATTCCATCTCAGAACAAATGCATAGGTGATACGTATCAAAATAACCGAGATAAGCTGCTCTAAACGATAGTAAAAACAAAAACTTAACTGCGTGAAAAACAACTAAAAAAAGCGAAAAAGTCTGGAGAATTTCTGGCCAATCTAATATTTAATCGGCTAATTCGAAAGGAACCCTTCACCCATAAAACAACTGTACAACAAAGATTAAAGCTTAAGTCAGATTTTTGGCCAATTTGAGAAGATGTTAATATACAGTTTGCGTAGAACGAGTCCAATACTTGTAAACAAAGTTCAAAAATGGGTGGAACAGCCATTACAAAAATGGTTTAGTTCCTCAACATTAGCGAACGATCTATATGTTTTCCTTCTCTTCCTGCTATTTGAAGTGTCGTGATGCTATAAATATACATATGAAGATGCTAAGTACTTTTCAAAACATTTAATCACTGGCAGGAGTTAAACACGCGTTTTGCCCCTAATGGGGCGCGTGTACCACTATACCACAGAGGTCATCACCTTGCTACCACTCTTTATTAGTTATAAACTATCAAAACTACCAGGCAAACTACTAAACTAAACACGTTGAACGTTGCTTCCTGACCGCTTCGATAGTTGATATTGAAAGACAAAGGAAGAGTGACAGGAAAGCAGTGGCACCTGTGGTGCACTGGTGGCACGCGTCCCACATATGAGTGGAAAAAGGGGTTCACTCCCTCCTGGGGTCAAAATTTAATACTAAATAAGAAATTACTTGAGTAGAATTCACTGTACTTATATACTTGGCGAGTAGCGATAGAACAAGTAAATTGCGTAAAGGGATACTTCTTCATTATCAGTAATGTTATCCATTATTCTAAATAAAGAACAAGCAAAAACCCTCTATAGGAGACTTCTTGATGACCCTTGCCATTGAAATTTAGCAGTCAGGATTTTGACGAAGGCCGTGGGCCAAAAAATTAGTTCATTTCAATTACGCTGTTATCGATTCTTGGAAAACGATATTCATACAAAAGAATGAATCTCGTTCTGGCTAACCATTTTTGTACTGGAACATGTAAAGAAATCAAGCAGCTCACCTTCGTCACCCAAGTCGGAATATGAAAATGTGACTGAATGATCCGCTCCGTCATGATCTTTCCGGCATGTAATGTTTGTCGTAACACATCCATTCCAGTCACTCCCTGATTCATAGGATTCGGATATTTCCTCCATGCTGCTGTTACCACGGTCTCCCAATCATGGCTAAACAAAGTCATTGGCATAACAGCTGTCAAATGTGTTGATTTCCAGAAGATGAACGTACGATTCTCTCAACTAGACGCATTTTTCAACCTTTTAGCGACAAGGCTTCTCTCGCTTCCTCTACAGACTTTTGCGCAATTTCTCAAAACCCTAAGCCTCGGTGATTTCAAAACTGTGCTTGTTTCCTGACAAAGTCTTTTCAATGCGATGTAGCAAGGAAAATAACACTCGACGTGTAGTATTTGCGCGACTGAAGTGTGTGATTGATTGGCCGTGTGGGTGGGATTTCGCAACATTTGTAAAAAAAATGCCACCAAGGAGACCTGAGTTCCTCCATTTTTTAATTTATTTTGTAACGAATTTAGGCAATTCCTGACCCAAGTTAGGTTTTCGAAGTCTTTATTAAGCACTGTAAAGCCGAAAAGAAGATTTCATTCCGCACACATAGGCTTGAGCTGCTTAGGCTTAAGTTTATTAGCGGAATTAAATGGCACTATGGAATGAGAAAAAACGAAAATTTTATAGCCATAGAACGTAGAACCAGGGTTTTTTACAATCCTAATCCAGAAATTTTGAGATTGTTTTACAAAACGAAAGGAGAACATTCAAGTAGATAACGAAAATGAGCGCCGAGTGTGAAAACAAACTTTATTTTCGCTCATACGACGCACCAAAAAGGCCTTTCCAGGAAACAAGCACAGTTCCGCAATTGACGAGATTTACGGTATCGAATGAGCACTAAAAGTCTGAGGAGTGAGCGAAATAGGCATTATCTTCAAAAGATTGAAAAATGGACTGCGAAAACGGAGCTTTACCAAAGAAAAAACAATTGAAACGTACTCAAACACGTGCTCCGAAGTCCAAATTTTCATACTCGTAGCTTAAAAGTCGAGTTCTGCTTGTCGTCGGACTTCTGAAAAGGACAGAGCGATATTGAAGTCTAAACCGAATGTAGTCGAGTCGAGTACATAATACAGTCTGCGATGAATCAAATATTTTATGTCTTATTCCCAGAGTCGCCGATCGATTAACCCCGGTTTGAACAAATTAAACCCTACTTCTTGATCAACGGACGCGAGATTGTTGACAACACAATTCATTCAGCACAATAAGTACACTAATAAATCAATTTGTTATGTAGCGGTGGTTTCAGCTTCCCTAAAACCTCGAAGAGTCAAACTGACATGCAATCTGCTCAGTTAAACACGTTCATGATGGAAGCAAGATGAAGCTTGATAAATGTTTGATCTTATAGAATATGGCCGCTGATAATTCGCGGCGCAGTTGGTTAGATGTGCCCTGCGACATACAGGTGGTCGATTAGACGATGGCCGCTAGTTCGATCCGCGCTCAAGGCTTACTGAGCCGTCCATTTCTCCGATGTCGATGACCTGGTACCAGGCTTGTTTCGGAGGCTAGCAGCACTGATTCGATATAGCGGGAGGCCACGGTGAGTCACTGTAAAGGTCAGATATGCATCCATTCACCTCAGACGAAGCTAATAACTGAAGACGAATGCATGGCGCATCCCTCAGGGACTGATCACACCGAGAGCTTTCTTGAGCTTTGAACAGCTTATTTCAAGGCTCTGAAGAAGAGTAAATCACCGAAAAGTCAGCCATTATCATTGTATCGTATTGTACTAAATAAATCGCATCCGCCAGCCCCCAAAGGGGCATCCTCGAAGGGTCAACAACCCCGCGACCCCTGGCCAAGAATTACGGGGCTGTTCGCTCAAAGGCCGGTACTGAAAGCAGTTTTTGTGACTCGCATGGTCAAAGGTGGTAGTTTCGAAAAGCACGTGACGATCACAACTAGTTAACCAACCGGTCAGGTCGACCGCACCGTGAGAAACACGGATAACCAATGACTGAGGAATGCCCCGCGCTCGATCGTTTATGAGAAACACCACGAGAAGCACGTGATCTCCTCGTGATTGTCATGTCACACAAAGCCAGATTACAACGATCAAACAACTTTTCACGTCAAAGTACCATCAACTGGTCAAAGAACCTTCATCGGAATAAGAGGATTAGATGAAAAATGACAGAATAAGGAATTAAAGAACACAAGAAATCACTGAAGGACTAGAAGAGAAAAAATTCAAACGTATAAAAATAACTAGAAATAAGGCTCAAATGTCCCATTCTACACTGAACCATAAGAGAGGGAGAGAGAGAGGGAAGGAAAGAGGGAGGGAGGAAGAAAGAGAGAGAGAGAGATAAAGGGAAGGAGAAGAGAGAGGAAGAAGAAGAAGAGAGAGAGAGAGAGAGAGAACCACTCAATTTTTACGAGTGACTATCGATCAACCTTGGCATTAAGCAATTAATTATTTTTCTCTGAAGGAAAAATTAAGAAAACCCATAACAAAATCCTTTTTTACTCTATTTTCAACTTATATTTTTTCTTATTTTATATTTCGAATTAACTAACAGGCTCAGACATGTTGTCATTTCCCCACAGTATTTACTATTCTTTCCTCGCAAGCCCCAACCCGCGGGTTATATGGTAGAAATTATCTTGGCAGCCGACGTCGTTTCAGGAAAGTCTCGCCTCCTTCTCAGCCTAGAAGAATCGGGTTGCCTACAACCGAGGGAGTCAGCGTCAAACACCTTCAATTGCCTTACGGGGAAAAACTGTGCACTTCGAGCGATGACGAAGTTAATGGATTGCCTGCACTGTGAGGAAAATATATCATAAAGATATAACCAGTGATGTCGAGTGATGTGCAAAACTTCTTGCGTCAGGCGGGATTCGAACCCGCATCTCACTCTATCCGAGAGCGCGTGCTTTAACCTGTTGTACTAACGACGCCCTTATGCTATACTGTAATATAAAGAATGTCACGCCCGCTCATCGAGAAGTATGGACTTAGATAGCATAATAAAGAAAGAATATTTTAAAAAAACCGATTTAATTCATTAAAGAAAAGACGAGTTTTAGAGAAGGGAATTCGATGCTGAAGGACCGGAAGGGAGAACAAGGAGGAAGAGGAGGAGGAAGAGACGGAGAAAGAGGAGGAGGGAAGAGGAGGAGGAAGATGAGGAGGAAGAGACAAAGAAAGAGGAGGAGAAAGAGGAGAACGAGGGGGAGGGGGGAAGTGAGTCAGCCCACGATGATGAACTTTGAGTCGACTGATAGGATACTAGTGCCTGACTCATCGATGCCCTACAATTTCATCCGGGTGAAATTATGTAGTAGAAACGCCTGATCGCCTTTAAAAAACGAAGTTCCACTAGAAGTTTTTCTCTCTTCACACTCGAATGAAACAAAATGAGAGTAAGGAGAAAGAGCACCAAATATCCAACATTATCCAGACTCGATGGATCGACTGCAGATTCAGGGAAATTTCCTCCTCTCCCAAGATGGCAACTTCCCCAGATTTTGGCTTGAACTACTCACTCTGAACTGTGTTAAGACATTTCTAGAGAGTTTTCCGGAGTAGTAGATTAAAATGTCCAGCAGACAGGCCACGCCTAAACCAGCAGTACCTCTCAGGTACCAGTCGACAATATTGCTCAAACGGCCGACTGGTGACCCAGTCGATATCACCATTGCTCCACGGCCAATCGTAAAGGCCCTTTAAATTGGCCGTCGGTCAGATATGCGCGGTTTCGTCATGCGAATTTCTGCATCGCTACGAGCAAGTCTTTTTTCCCCTAATCGGACGTAATTATACATATACCATATATACGTACATATATACGTATATATACATGTATATGTACATATATATGTACATATATATACATATATTCGTATATATATATGCGCATATATTATTACATACGTACAAATACAATGTGTGCATGTATATACATGCATATACATGTGTACATACACGCTTATATATGCGTATAAATTTGTACGCATGCATTTCAATGCGTGTACACGTACATATACTTATGTACTTGCGCGAATATGTGTATGTACGTCATGAAGCCAGTAGTATTTTTCTCTTTCATTTTTTCTTTTTATCATCGTTCTAATCTTTCTGTTCTTTTTATTCTATTTTCTTCCTCTTTTGTTTCATATCTTTGTTCCTATTATTTTTCAATTATTATCTTTTCTGATAATTTTGTCGAAATTCGTGTCATCTCAAGGAGTTTTCCCATGTAAGATTTTTGATGGTTTATTTTTGTTATAAATAAATCAAATGTACTCGAGTGGACATAAGTCATGCTTTATTATGCCTGAAATACATTCTTTTGAGGTGATTTGCGAGAATTTTTTTCAATTTTAGAGCTTCTGTAGCGATTTTATGGTGTTAAATTTTTACGTGAAACTGAAAATTTCCAGTCCGTCCGTTTTTGTCTCCCGAATTGGTTGTAGGTGTTTCGAATAGTTCATGATTTCAATCTTATTGATGCAGAGCAAATGTCTTGGTTTGGTTGGGGTGGAGGCGGTTCTTCGTCTGACAACAAAACATCGTATTCAACTCTGGAGACACCAAGCACACCGATAGATCTCAGTGATGGAGGCGGCGGCGGAGTGTCATTCAACATCGATGATCAGAATTCTCAAGTTGGTCTTGTTTTATTAAGCCTTTCCGGGCGTTAGGGATCCTTCCGACCCTCGAATTTACACAAGTTTTTTCGTTGTACAAAGCTTCTTTTGCTAGATTTATAGTGATTATTCGACAGCGCAAATCTCGGCAATTTCAGCACCGTGCTTGATTTTTGAGTAGGCTATCTGGGAACGCTAAAATAGCGAGAATAATATCATGTTTTACACATGGATTCTTCATTTTACGCCTAGGGTCCATAGCTGGATTTTGGTTACATCATACTAGTATTTGATCGGTAGGTAGCACAAATCTCGGCATTTTTTAATTTGGATACTTGAGTGGGCTGTCGTCACGGTTTGTGCGTGCATGAGCACGGCAAAACTGTGCTTGTTTAGCTGTTTTGTTCCCTGGAGTTCCGAGGCCAGTCTAGCCGAGGCTTTCTCATATCCTCTCACCACATAGGAGAGCAATCGCCAGCTCTTGTGGAACAGAGAGAGATTGCCACCTTACGACCAGGACTGCGACCATTCCTGGAACGGTTTATCCCTGGTTGGGCTTTCCGAGTGGAAGCGTCTGACTCCTTTTCAGCTTGTGTGACCCTCGCTCCGGCAGTCAGGAATACGTCTTATCCACGATGGGGAGGTAAACCATTTGAGAACTCCCTTAGCAATTCTGAAGAAAAATTTGCTTCTTGCAGTCTTCAAGTGCATAGTACGAGCGGAAATCAAATTATGTTTCACAGTCGGGGTTTTCCTTGCACGTAAAGTTATAAATAGACATAAAGTTTATAAGTTTCAGAGGAAGTTATAGAGTATCCGAATAATGCAAGAAACGTGAAGTTTTTTTCCGAAACGAGTGTGAAAATCTTGCCAAACAATAAAATACGCGGCGCGTGCGAAAATGATCAACAGCTGCCCGGAAAGTATGTGTGTGTAAGGATCATGCTGGTTTTTTGAATGTCTTAATCCTGCTTTTTGTTGGAGGACAGAGGACTCTGTTCAGGTAAACTCCTCTCCTTTCTCGACTCCGGTCCTCGCTCTCGATCAAATCAAAAGCGCTGGAGTGCCTGTGACGAGGCAGATGACTCCTTACCTGCAGGTTGGTTGAGTTTTACTATTCTAATATATGAGCTGTTATGTTTTAGCATTGCTAGAATAATTTGAAAAGAGATTTTTCTCCAACTTTGGAATTGCCAATCAATATTATATTCTTTGTTTACTAAGACTAAATAAGTGTAAAGCTTTAGTTTGCATGTCTGAGCAGTTGTTAAAGTTCCAAAGTTTTTGTGTTGCTTAGAGCCGATGATTTGAGTCGATTTTCCACAGTCTCAGTCTGCTCTGAGAAAGACGAAGACGTTGAAATGTTACCGGAATAAGTCATCTTGACCAACTTCGAGTCAATAACTTAGCCAACAGTGAACATAAGATTGCTCAAATACTTTCTATTGTTCTCCTTCTCTTTATAGAAACATGTATGTGTTATCATGGACGTCATATAATCTTTTATCGGATTGCAGATGGACCCCTCAATGTTCATCTCTTCACAACCGCAGTATATTATGCCAGATGGTGGAACTGGAGCCTCTGGAAAAGGAAAGTTCGAATTCGCTCTTGGACATATTGGTTGGGCCGTAGGGAGTGGATTTGCAGTTGGGTCTATAAGGGGAGCTTTTGGAGAACTGTTCAATCCGGAAACGAGAAAGCTGGTAATTATCTTCCGCCGCTCAGTTCCTGTCTTTTATCAACATATCATATCTTATATTGGATTAGAGCTATGCTATCTTCCTCACCCTCTTTATAGTTTTGGTGTTGTGTTTTAGACTGGAAAACCATGGATGACTCGTATGGTTAACGCAACGGTCAAACATGGATCAGGATATGCTCAGCCAGCTGGTTTGTGATTGGTTTAGTCAATTTCAATGCTGTGTCTGTTTTTTGAAAAGGCCTCAGTGTGCTTTAGTAATCAAAAGAAGGTTTCGCTCTCCACTGAAGTGGTTACTCCGCTAATTCTACTTCGTAACGGGTTATTGGCAATCATTGTGTGGAAGTCTAGAATCTATGGGCATTATGTTGTGACAAGAAGCTGCATTATCACTGAGGAGATTTTCGTAAAGCTTTCTTAGTATAAGAGTACGCTAATGTGCTTCAACAAGGGATGAACCACGTCTTTGCGAAAAGTACTGTTACTCCCTTACTGTACATCTTTACCCCCCTCTCTTGTGTGAATATAACTCGTAAATGGCTATTCTACAGTATCAGGCTCCTGGAGAAACTTGTATGGAAGTAATCTCATTATGTAGTGGGAGCTAGCATAGAATGACCGCACATTCATCAATGTGAAAAGGTCTTCCTTGGAATGATTGAATATTCCTGTTCCATATTTTTTTGGCATCTCAGTGATGTTGTTAATTTTTTGCCTAATATCAAATCAATGCATTCAATCACCTCAAACGAAGTTAAAAATTGAAGTCGAATGCATGGCGCATCCCTCAGGGATTGATCAACGCCGAGAGCTTTATCCTTTTATCCTTTTATCAAATCAATACTAACAAAACGTGCAGTCTGCATCGATGATTACAAACAAGTCAGTGCCGGTCGACAGTTTACCCTTTTTTGCATAGAATTTGTACTTCTGACATATAATGAACAGTTGGTGTGTCCTAAAATAATCAAAATTTAGTATGCAATTCGTTCTATACTATAAACTCCCTGATCTGAATACCCAAGGCGCTTAAATCCACATTTCTGATGGACAGAGTTGGAACATTTTAAATGATGCTTCTTACCTTGGCTGCACGTGATACGTATTCGTCTACCTTTGTTTCGATCATTTGGAACATTTCGATTCTCTGCCAACTTTCCATAGCATTTAGTACAACGCCTAAATCTTGGTGACCTGGTGGAGGCTTTCTCAAGAACGCGGCTAGTTGTCATCTCCTTTCCTTCAGATGAACGTTTCGAAGCGCTGCGTGATTGCTCCAGTATTGTTTCAGACTTGGTACTCGGACGGCATGTATTTGAAGGCACAAGCTGTTTTCTGGTAGTTTCCCGCTAGCATCCTTCTGCTTGCCAGAGATATTCGCATTTTTACAGTTGACTCCCAGTCATCAATGGTCATGCAGTTCAGTGGGGTCGATTGGCTAGTTGGACGTAAGCATTACGTCTCGTCGATCACCTGCCCGTTCTCACAAAAGGTTGTCGGTGATAACACTTTCATCGGCCACTCGCCGATTATCTCTTCATCTCCTGAGTTATGATATTCTTCATAGTCATAGTCTGAGTTCTCATCTTCAGATTCAGAATCTTTGACTAGTGCCTTGCTTTCTCCACAGTGTCGTCGACTTTGTCATTGATCTCTTCTTCGTTACTAGTTTCCCAGCAGGCAAACGAGCAAGAGTTTTAAACCTATGTTTATACATGACAAAACCTTTCAATAATTATTTATCTAGCATACTTCTCATACAACATCCATGATTAGCGGCTTTAGAATGTTCTGTAAATAATTTTGGCGAATATATCGACTTAACAAATATCACAGTGCGCTTCCGAAATGGGATCTACAGGCATTATCAACAATATCTCAATACCAGGAATACTATATAATATACAACTGCATCATTGAATACACATTGCCTAGCTCGTCATGGATATAATGTGGAATCACCATATCTTGTGAACTTAATAATTACGGTCAATCTATTACTCTGTCCATTTGTTATCCTTTGATTGTCTAGGAAGAATATATGTGTACACATAAACGTGGCTATGGCTTGACATGCTGAAATAGTGGTAGACCGGAAACCTGCATACTAACTGGTTCTCTTCGAATACGATTGTGGAAGAAAATTCTTCTGTAACGCCCTAGTACCCAGCTCATTTTGACATACACGAGCTAAAATAAATAATTTGAAATGAACTACGGAATGAAATAGACCCGTCGAAAAAGAAGTTACATTGGTATAAGTGGAGGAGAACGTCAATCGCAGGCAGGTGAGCTGGCCAGGAGGCCTCTGATGTACTATTCGTGCACAACCACCTACATGCGGCGACGTTGAAGTTATTTGAATAGATGGAACGTGAACGTGGTACAGGAAATCGTCCTGAAGGCATTCAACTGAAAAGATATTTGCAGAGCATGTGAAATTAGTGCGCATATCCAATGAAATAACCACCATCGTAAATTACGATAATAGTGCGGAATATACGAAAAGTTAGTTACCATAGAGCGCTAGAACAAGGCTTTGTTCCACAATTCTGTATTAGTACTTAAGCTTCAACTCTTTAAGTGCATTAGTATTGAGAAATGGTTGAGGGTAACGGACGAAATAGCATTGCATACAATGTACAAGATGATTTTCTGCACAAATTTCCCTCATTTTCTTGTTTGATTCACTATTATGACCGTTGGATGTTGTATGGAATGAGAAGATCTCAAAATTAAAAGTTTCATAATATAATATCTTTTGTAAAACTTACTTTGAATGAATGATTGTCAGAAGCAGTCTGATTTTGTAGTAAGCAAACGCTTCTCCTTCACATAGTAGTTGGGTGATTATTTTTTGAGCTATGTTTGTGGTCTGTAGAGGAGTTCATGTGGCGCAGTGGTTATAGGTGCCCCGCGTTGCACACGAGGTCTGTGGTTCGATCTCGCGCTCATGGTTCACCAAGCCATCCATCCCTCCGGGGTCGGTAAATTGGTACCAGACAGGTCTTAGACTTGTCTGGGAGGATAAGCAGCACTGACTCGGTTCAGCGGGATGCCTCCGCGAGTCAATGTAAAGGCCAGATATGCATTCAATCACCTCAAACGAAGTTAAAAATTGAAGTCGAATGCATGGCGCATCCTTCAGGGATTGATCAACGCCGAGAGCTTTATCCTTTTATTTATGTGGTCTGATATGGGCAACTTATAGAGCCCAATACATGTGTCTCGGCCTTGGCAGCCTCGTCAGTTGAGCAGTATCCTTAGTCTTTAGCTGATATTCTCGAAGGAGCCCAACCCCTATATAGAGAAGGCGCAGACGTACTATTTACACCTGCCATTGAGTGAAAAAATATCACTTGTGTAGTGTTATATACTCGATTGCTCTTGGCTGGTATCGTCAAATATATAATATTTTAATGACAGATGTAAATAGTACGTCTGTGGCTTCTCTATATAGGGGTTGCGTTCCCCCGAGAAGCTTGGCGAAAGAGGAAGGAAACTGCTCAACTGACGAGACTGTCAAGGCCAGAACACGTGGACTGGGTCTATAAGTTGTCCATAACAGACAACATGCATGGTTCAAGAAATAAGTATCAGGCATATTTAAGTGTGAGCGTGGTTCCAAGAAAGCGCTCGAAATATTAAAAAGAAAATATGGGAGACTGTAGGAAAAACATGGAGTATCAAACTATTAGGAGAAGCACAGAAATTTTTTCGAAACATGAAAACATTTCAATCAACTAACTAAAACCGCGCTAACGCTCAACGAGTTAAATCACCGTTCACAAAGAGTTCAAGTAAACTACAGCTAATAGTTCAGGTGCTGTTGTCTTTATGTACTCTGCGCTAGAAATAGCATTACGTTCCGTTCGAGCAGAGGATGAGTTAAATTGTCTTGGTGCTGGTGCGCTAACAGGTGCCATCTATCGCAGTCCTCATGGAGTGAGAGCGAGTGGAATAGGTAAGATTTAATACTAAGGAACTCTTGTTGTCTTCAATCCTTAGTTTTACATCTTGCTATTTCCAAAACTTTGGTCTATTTCATTTATTATAGGTGCTCTTGTTGGCTTAGTGCTAGCGGCAGCATGGACAATTGCCAATCCTGATAGTAGACAGCGGATTTCGGAGATATTTGCTTAAACAAAGGGTTACTTTGATGTTGTTATCCATTGTTACTGCCTAGCTTGATATATCTAAAATTGGCTAGCTGTTATAATTTATATAGTGAATAATTTTCTCATTAGCGCCTAGTGAGTAATTATTTGCCTCATTGTTAATGATTTATCGTTGATTGCATCACTGAACCACTTTGACAAACAGTCAACTTCCTATTAATCATTCAAATCATAAAGATAAAAGAAAATATGTTTTTTGGGAACCATGAATCGAGCATCTTATTCGCTTTCCAGAGTTTACTGACATACTATTTTTTATAACAATAAACAGATCAATCAACTTGGATAAAGTGAAAGGTGATTCAAAAGTCTATTAGAATGAGACGTGAGGAACGTTGCCTTTTATCAGCGGTGTTTAGTAAAGAATTCCAAAAAGAAACTGTTAGGTAGTCATGCATTTTGAATAGCTACTGTTCCAAAGAGAATAATGCACTTCTCATTATTAGTTATCATCGTTTCCAAAACCTATTTGATGAGATGTTGTCTACCATATTTCAAATTGGATTTCATAAAGAAATACGTAGAAAAGGAACGATTCGTTCTGTTTGAGAGGTTCCAGAATTCGTATTCTGTCATACTTCAAACGAATCGAGCTTCCTAATTTCATCTAACCAATGGAGAGTACCTCTCGCTATCCCATGACAAAATTTCGCTAAGTGTTAGTGACATTTCTATTGCTTTTCAAAGTTCGCAAGCTCTGCATGATGCTTACAATGTGAAACCACACTTATGAACGCCTATCCATATCGGCGTTGATTGCTGGTACAAGTTTGAGTACTTGGATGTAATAGGCTGTTCACATAGAGTAAAAACTCTCTGAACATCCATAGTGGTTCTCGGAATTGATGTCAATAGATACGATGAAAGTTGATTTCCAATAGGACATTCTCGTGCTCTACTTTTAGCTCTGAAGAAGTCCCATAGCTGTTTTCAATCCAGAAGGAGCGGCGATTTTCTTGGTGGGGCCATGGAATGCTCTGGCACCATCACATTGGGAGTTTAAAAAAATGACTAAACGAGCATCAAAAATATTCATGAAATGGAAGTGGTTAGCATTGGTGGTGTACAGTGTTTTCTCATAGTAGATAGTTTATACTGATTGGGCTCCTGAGACTCTCCAAGTAGACGTGAGGCTTATAATTAGCAGACTGTCGCTAACCACTTCTTACGTTCATTCCTGGTATCTGGTTGAAACTTCTAGTAAAACTGTCGTCTAAGAAGCAATCCGCATAAGTACACTTGCGCCCATGCTCTGATTCATGATGTGCTTACGTGCATCCTGAGAAATATGGATCTTAAAAATCTACTAATTAGTATGTGAAGAAACAGCTCAAGATACGATGAGGGGGAGCTAGTACGACCAGCCTCTTGCGACGTTCGTAAAAAAGAATATTAGAAGAAGTCGAAACAACACCCAGAAAATCAAAGAAGTTTCTGAGTGATTGAAGCGAGAAGAACGAATCACCCTAAAATTCCATAGGCAAGAGCGGTCTATGCTGAAAATTGGTACTTTATAGTAATTTTGGCAATTTTAGTAGCGGATTGAGTGGTGAACAAAAACACGGCCTCAGGCGGGAATCGAACCCACGTTTCATCCTATCCGGGGACGTGTGCTCTACCACTACACCACTGAGGCACATTTGCCCGACCACTCATTCTTCTACATCTCAATGTTAGCTATCAGCCACCAACCTTTGACAGGTTTGGTCGGGTATGCGATTTCGCTTTATAAACCCAGTTGAGCTGATAGCTATTCTAATTACTAATACTTCGAAATTACAGTATTTTCACTGCTTTTTTCGCAGTGTTATTATGTTCTTATATAACTTAGAGGATTGAGTGGTGAACAAAAACACGGCCTCAGGCGGGAATCGAACCCACGTTTCATCCTATCCGGGGACGCGTGCTCTACCACTACACCACTGAGGCACATTTGCACAGAATGAGTGGTCGGGTCAATGTGCCTCAGTGGTGTAGTGGTAGAGCACGCGTCCTCGTATAGGATGAAACGTGGGTTCGATTCCCGCCTGAGGCCGTGTTTTTGTTCACCACTCAATCCTCTAAGTTATATAAGAACATAATAACACTGCGAAAAAAGCAGTGAAAATACTGTAATTTCGAAATTTTAGTAGCTTTATTAAGTTAGTAATTTTTGTTTATTTGTATTCCTGAAAATAACTCCAGAAATCTTGAAAAATATTTTGTTAGCCAAAAGTGCGCTTGTTTGTTGTTCTTTTGTAGATGTAAAACTGCTCTCATCTATGGAATTATAGGGTAATGCAAGACGTCTGCAGAACATGTGATGTCGCATTCTGTGAATGAATATCCGCATTGCTCCATATGCTGTTTTTGATTTATATGTTTCGTCTGGTGGTTCTAGGAACGAGAACCGTGGCTGGTCTAACTATTAACTATTCTAGGGGTAAAGTATCAGATTGGTACAAAAGTGATGGATGTTTATGCATTGTTGGAAAATTTGCCTTTTGATATCGAAATAAGTCTAATAAACCCAATAATGTAGAGTGGTGTGCAAAAACATTTGCTTCAGCTGGGATACCCAGATCTCCGGTGATGTGGGTTCGATGAGTGAGATCTGGGTTCGAATCTCACCTGACGGAGTTTTTGCCCACCACTCTACGCTAGTGGGTTTATTATAGGATCATACCTTCGCAATATGCGGTTAAATGAAATATATTCTGATGAATCTGATAATCACTTTTTGGGCCAACTTGTTGTAGTATTTCATGGGCACTTAGAGCCCAATACACGTGTTTGGGCCTTGACAGTCTTTCAGTTGGAAAGTACTCTTTGTCTTAAACGATGCTCTTGGGGGAAGGAGAACCCAACCTCCTACATGAAGTAGACGATGGCTAACAATTTACACATGCCGTCAACCCCATGAGGACTGGCAAAGACGGAGCGTACTACCCAACTGGCGAGGCTGTCAATGCCAAAACACTGGTATTGGGCCCTAAAGCGCCCACTGAAGACCATATTACAAGTTGCTCCAAGAAATGGTTGTCAAATTTATTGAGATTTTTGGGCGTGGTCTCAAAAAACACTGGAAACGCTCGTCATGCTGTTGAAACATATTCTCAAGCAAATCTCGTTATTTCGTAAATTATTCATGGGCAATCAATCGCTTTCTGTATTGTTGCTGATGGCGTATTCCTTGCTTTTTAATTTATATTTATTTTAGACTGCGCAATGTTGTGGAAAAAAGCTGACCTGAGCAATTTTCTTATTCGAGTTCAGAATGGGTTGTGAAGTACCAGAGACAATTTGCAACGTGAATAAAGCATTTAGGCCAAGAAGTACTAGCGGACGTACAGTGCAATGAAGGTTCAAGAACTTTTGTAAAGGAAGCGAAAACTTGAAGATGAGGATGACAAGAGCCGGTCATGTGAGGTTGCTAACGGCTAATTGAGAGCAATCATCAAAGGTGATCTTTTTAAGACCAAACGAGCTGTTATAGAAGAACACAACATCGACCATTCTACGCTCTTCGTTATTGGAAGCAAATTGCAAAAATAACTACGGTTTTACACCGATGTGAAAGCGCAGCTACTTTTGCACCACCCTAGTAAGTAATGGCGAGGTGCCCCGTTGATCGTGCGGTTCTTCCAGTTCGTGCTGCTGACTATTCAGCGACCCAGTATAGCGCCATAGAGAATTCAAGTGGCTTCGAACATGGGTGACGACTCATTCACTTACAAAAGACCCGCAGATGGCCAAAGACGTCGTGGAGTGTTTGTCGGGCTACTCTATACGAATAATTAGTCCGGCGGTCGATAGTCATCGTGTCGATGAACATCTAATGTCGTTAATACTTAAACGGTCGAGTAGATTTGAATGAAAATTCTCGAGATGAGACCTCTTAAAAATAACAAAAGTTATCACGCCTGAGTAAGAAGCATGAGGTGTTAATGTTAGAGGCTGTCGCTAATTGTAGTGATGTACAGAGAATGACCGCAAAGCACGTTTTTAAAAGGATGAGAAAGTGATGGTAGAGGTAATATCAATAATCGGTTAGATACAGCTTCAACGTGTGTACTGCGTGCTTGTTGGTCAAAAATCCTAAGAATTCCATAAGTTCACATGCTCAACACCTGTCACTCGACACATGACAAGGAACCGCGATGTTTTGGTTTTTCGCGTAACAAATGATGATGGAGGTGCGATACATTTGATCAGAGATTGATGTAGATTCCAACTTCAGCACTTCAGCAGCATATGACCTTTATAGAGCTCATTTACCTTGCTGCACAAAAGTTTTTCTCGAACTTTTCGCAATCAATCGATAGTTTTTGAACAAAAATGCTTTGTTGTGATTAGGACGGTGTAAAATATATTCTGCACTTAAAAATTATACCGAAAATCCATTTTTCAAAAGAGGTCACTATCAAAAACAGTTAGACAGCACGGGATGAAGAAGCAATTCCTTTCATGGAGTTGTAATAAAGATTTTTTCAAAAATCGGTCAAGTACGGCTATAGCTAGAGATTCAAGCTTTCGAATGATTGCTTACACTTTTAAGAAAGGTTCTTGTCCAGCGGAAGAGATTGATTTTCATCCCATGCCGTCTAACGGAAAAGTACCGCGATCTGAATGTCATTTGATAAATATCCAATTACAAATACTATCTACAGTTATCACATAGGATGTGCAAGTATCAACCGAGATAGACACGGCATAAATTGCAAAATACTAGCAAATGTTGACAGCAATGTAATTGTAACCATAGTCACATATATAAAGTAGTATTACACATTCGTTGTTACCATAGATCGATAGAACAAGGCCTAAACTACAATTCTGATATGTACACGGCTCTTAAATTCTTTAAGTTCTCAAAAAATCACCATATATTTTCGAATAATGACAAATTCATAATGACCGAAAATTTATTTTGATCGGCTGGGCATGCCACGAAAGTTAGTCGTCGCCGCGAATTTGTTGAATAAGCATATCTCTGCTCAAAGTAAACTCTTAACTCATACAAATTGAGTAGATTTTGAAGAACTTTACAAACGAAGAACATTTTTTCTACACATTAAGATTCTGATTTTTTTAATACTACAGAACATACTATCTCACTTTTCTTCAATGCTACTCAGTTGGAACTCAAGGGCTGTTGAATAGGGTGGCCTTATTCAAGCACGTTGGAGTCCCCCAGGTGTATCGTTGGTGTTCACGGGGAGCGCGGCTGTGCTGGGAACACAAAAATTCAATTCTCATTCTGATAAATTTTACTTCGTAATAATATTATGTAAATAGTGTGTCAATAGCGTCAGAACAAAGAGGTCTACGAATCATCACACACGGAAAAAACAGCCTTATCGACAAAAGTTGTTTACCGTGAACTATCTCGGCGCGGAGTGATCGTCATAGGATTCAAAAGTGTAAAGTGAAATAAATTCACCTATTGGGTCCGTCAAGATCATTCAAATCATCGTTTGTTATTGTTTTCATTATGGACAAGGATGAATCGATTGCTGCCGGTGATGGAAAGTTTATTGCGCTCGAAAATTTCGGAAGTGGTAATTTTTGAAATAGAAAATAGTTTAATTTAAGCCAACAATCTCACCACTTTGTGAAAGACGACTGCTGGCTATCTCAACTAGGGTTTTCGAATATGACCTTTATTGTTTCCTTTGTTAACTCCAAATTAGATATGATTAGAAATAAATGCATAGAATAGCTTGTGGATGTATAGAGCCCAAGGGTGGATACCGCTTTATTGTCTAAAAATGAGGTAGAACTTTCGGTACTATTTTGCTGAATAAAATTTGGATATCTCCAGTTTTACCTTCTCAGATATTTACGAGACCTATCTTCGAAGCACAGTTAACGACTGTTAAACAGTTTTTTATATTTTTAGCACTTTATTGATCCATCTTCATGGTTCTATACATTGTGCGGATCACAGTACTTCTACCATTCGAATCCCTTTTTTCTTGCCTTCTTCTAAAACGCGAGCCACGACGAGCATCACAAGCACTCCGCCACGCCGCTCCCTTTGAAGAATTATCTCCACCCTTTTCGGTTCTATATTTCTATCGCAGCTTTCATAGAGAGACCAACTGTAGGTAAAACAGGTCAGTCATCAACATTTCTCTTTGAAGAAAAATGAAATCGTCTGCTTCATTATTATAAGCTGCAGACTATCGCTAGAACTCATGTAAACACTTACATGTTTCATTAGATCGCATCACCTTCCAAACCTTGTCATCACCTGTATCACTTGTTGTCCCGTTGATCGTCGAGTGACTCGAGCGGGTACCAGCAACTCTTCCATTTGTCCCTATTGCATGCAAGAGTAGCCCAGTGAGTCCTCTTCGCTCTAGGGATTCGTTGAGCATTATATCTTTCTTCTATCGTTTTTGTGAAAAAATCGGACCAGCGGTTTAGTGGTCTTCCTTTAGTGCGCTTGATGTCCCGAGGAATCCAGTTGGTAACGGCTCTCGTCCATCGGTTGTCGTTGAAGCGCATCACGTGTCCGGCCCACCTTATTTTCTGGACCTTGTGAACATTTTCTGAACTATTTTCCCACCAAACCTTGTCATATCCTATTTATTTGCAATGCTGCTTATATCATAATGGTTAGAGGTGATCCAAATAATCTGTAGGGTCCTTGGACCGATTAAATGTCTCGAACCTATCAATCTTCCCTTCCTCATTCCTCAAAAGTTGACAAGGTGATAACAGAGCTACCGGAGCTGTGATAATATCAAGTCATCGCATAAGTTTTGGCACTAGAGCAATAAACACCAAATTTATCCACCAGAAGTAATAAGAACTTCTTAATAGCACTATTCAAAGTATGCTCCATCAGTATATCAGATGATCAACGCCAAGCACTAGTGTAAGCACTAGACCGCTGCAATCGGGCCCTGCCACGTCGACGTCGCCGCAATCTCATCCTGCTTCAAGAAGGCGCAAAAATGTGTATAGCTCAACTGACGAAGAGGAATTTGGCCAAATTGGGCTAAAAGTTGGTGGATCATCCGCTGTAAAGGCCTGACATGTCGCCGC